TAGCTACCTGCTTGAGGCGCTATGTGAGTCCAGAAGCTATATTCGGATTACGACTTCTTCGACCTTGGCCGGTGCGCCCCTTATATAGATGGTACGCTGCAAAGATTTGAAGGCACAAAGGCTGATTGGCGTTAGCGAGATCCACGGACACACTTCCATGGGACACGACGGATTGTAGATACGCGCCTCAGCGTCATCCGAACGAGGTCTAGGGGTTTGTCGGTCAGCCTTCAAGCTTATTCTCACAGCTTTGATGCATCTCAAATGATCATCGAGGGTCTAGATAGGACTTACTGTCTCTTGCGGACCTCGAGGATCTTGATTCAGCTCGACGGAGGTAGGGTCGTAGGACGAAGGTTGCCATTCGACAGGATCGAGGATGTCTACTGCCTTAGTGTCTGGGCTGACTTCCCTGCTACTCTAGTCTTGAAGGTACCGAATGACAGTTCCTGGTCATGCTGGTCATGTCGTCGTCTATCGACGCTGCGAGAAGTATGAATGAATGGCACATGCTTAGGCGGCGATTGCTCAAGGTCGGAAGATGTCAGCGTAACAGCAAGCAGCTATTCTAGCAAGCTCCAGATTGAATCCACGGCGCGATCGACCTTTGAACGTTGCTATACTTACACGCAACAAACGGAGTGATCGCGTACTTGACTGTCAATAGTTGCGGAAGTTTCGTCGGGTCTATGCGTGAAACACAATAGAACGGATGCCTGTAAAGCTTGGATTAGCAGAAATCAAGTGGCAAACCCGAGGTCAACGCCTCCACGCTTTGCTTGAGCACAGCCCCGCAAAGAGATACACAGCCTTATGGATCGCTCACCTGGGTAGACAGCAATAAGCGCTCTTGATCTATGTTTCGGGTACGCTGCACTACTATCAGTATGGTCGCCTGTATCCCAACAACGGAAGCAAGATCGTCGTCCGGAGTAGGACACAGCGACGCATGACGGAGCCGTCGTGACTGATATTCTGTTAAAGCTCTAGACACGACGGGGCTAACTGAGGCCTGTTCAGTGTTTAGCTACGGCCCTCGAGGAGGACTGGCCTGTTACGACTCTAATTGTGAACAAGTATGAGCAGCGCATTGGGAAGACCAGAGACCATGACGTTGACCTATTCCAGTAGTCAGTCGTGGAGCATTGATACTGTGAAGCTCGCCTAGCATTCGGTCATAGATCTTTTTCATACCACCATGTGAGCTGACTTGAAGGACAGTTTTCTTTTCAAGTGCAGTCTTTTCTTCAGCAATAGGCGCTGAAGCATAGGTATAGAGCTGATAAAGGCGAACGAGCCGCTCACTCTTTGGGATCGGGACTTACGTAGAGTAGACGATCATAGAGAATATCGCAAAGGTGCGGACAAGCTACGAACGACTCCCGCGACTCGAGTAGTCTTCTCGATATTTGTCAGTGATTTCTTGAGGAAATCTTTGTTCAGATGCACCACCAAAACTGTGTGACTGGTTAGCATTGACTGCAACAAGCAGTTCAAGAACGGGCAAGCAGTTTCGGCGTGTAAGTCAGCTACACAGTTGTTGCACAGGAAGTATGGATGCTAGTCAGGAAAACCGGGCAGTTTACTGAAACTCGATTCCATAATTCGTATATGCGTATCAAGTTGCCCTGAGAGAGAGGTCAGCGAAGATCGTTGAGGTGTAGGTAACAGCAGTTACTAGAGATTGTACAAGCTAGTAGGATGATACCTCCTGGCTTGGCCATGATGATCCGCGCTCGCAGCCGACGCGACCGTGTGCACACCACGATATTCAGACGCACAAAATATACGAGACGGCTGTGGAGGAAGACAAATTTCCTAGAAGCTAGGCTTCGACTCTGAAAAGGCCTCTATAAAGCTCTCACACCTCGTAAAGCAGCCTGAGAAACACTACAGACCTAAGCCTCAAGAGCACGATTCGGCGCCAAGCGGCGCTGACCGTACTGGCATGCATGTTAGTTTCATGCAAAATGAAGGCCACAGGATACTCACTGTGTGGACAAAGCAGGATGTAGACGCGGAGTTCAGTGCGGAACTACCGGAAATGCGGAACCGGACGCGGAACTGAACACGCGAGGCTTTCCCTAATGTCAGCTAGCGCAGTACAAGCCTTCTCTCTAGTGTCTCAACAAAAGACATGGTGGCTAACATCGCAGATCCCCGCCAGAAGTGAGCCTTGAGTGTAGCGATGTATGACCACAGACGAGCTTTCCGAACATGTCGCACCGGCACCTTTATAGTCACTGACCCACAGTACGCTTATGCTGATAGAAGGCCATCTGTAAAGCAAGTGCCAACAATCTGCACTACAGTGTCAGCCTACATCACAGTACTTACTGTCCGCCGTGTCGAGAAGTCAGCCTTCTCAAGTGATGAAGTTCAAAAGTATGATGTATGTCCTCGGTGATAAGCAGGAGAATAGCATAATGCCAGCTGCTAGCATAACGACGATGGAAGCTGACCTCGACACGTTTACCATCGCTGACATGGTAGCGTACGGAGATCAGAGATAGGCACGACGGTAATACTGCTGACCGTGTTTATGGAGGTGAGCAATTGGTATCGAAACCATGGTTGTGGCAGCGCTGTTCGCTCCAAGTAGTCTCTGCTTAAGCTAGCGGACCGGGTTTCGAGTCACCCGGGGTTTCAACTCACTCATCACAACCCAACACCCTCATCAAAACACGTGTTTTCTCGCCACCCACACCGCCAAAATGGACACCCGTGAAGAATCTATGCAAGCAGCTATCCGCGATCTTAATGCTGATGTTTTCCAGAGTCAAAGAGCTGCCGCAAAGGCCTACAACATCCCTCAAGCTACGTTCTCTGCTCGTGTACGAGGCACACAGAACAGCCAAACCAGCCACGTATACCAGCAAAGATTGACTCCAGAGCAGGAGGACTTTCTCGTACAATGGATACTTGAAGAAGACGCACGAGCTTTTCCTCCCTCACACGCACGCGCACGAGAAATGGCGAACCGAATCCTCCGGATGAATGGAGACCACAGACCTGTAGGCAAGCATTGGATGGCTGCCTTCCTAAAGCGCAACGCACGCGTCGCATCTGTTGTAGGTCGAAAGATTGAAGCTGCTCGAGCTGAGGGAGCAACACCAGCACAGATACGCGCGTTTCTTGAGCTCTTTGAGAGGACTCGTACGAGGCTGGATATAAGAGCTAAGGATACATGGAATATGGTCGAGACTGGGAAGGCCTTAGGTGTATGTGCAAACACTAGAGTACTCGCAGACAGTCAGAAAAAGAAGGCTTACCATCAGTCGCCAGAGAACCGCGAGTAGGCATTAATAATCGAGTGCGTGTTAGCTACGGGCAAGAAACTGCGCAGTTCAGTCATATTCAAAGGGAAGAACCTACAGAGTACCTGGTTTCCTGCGACAATTCCTGACTGGCTTTATACAACCTCTAAGAATGGCTGGACATCAAATGCGATAGGAGCTGAGTGGTTGCAGCGGGTATTTCTGCCTAAGACAGCTCCATTACACGATCGCTGGAGGATGCTAATCCTAGATGGCCACGGCAGCCATATTAGCCTAGAGTTCCTATAGGCCTGCAAACAGAATAAGGTCTATCTCCTGTTTCTGCCTGCTCATTCTTCTCATGTCCTACAGCCTCTAGATCTCTCATTATTCTCAGTTGTAAAGAGGTTCTACTAGCAGCAGATCCAGGCTCTCTCGTATCTTGATGACGCAGCGTCTGTCAAAAAAGAGCGCTTTATCACAGCTTATTATCACGCAAGAGAGCGCGCAATTACTGAGAGAGTTATGCGAGCAGGATGGGCTACTGCAGGTATCTGTCCGTTCAATATTGACCGGGTAGTCAACTCATCTCAGGTATCTCAAAGGCCTATCACGCCACCTTCTCAGAATCAACCTCAACCTACTTAGAGCTATCTCTCTACTCCTTACGGACCTCGTGCGGTCTTTGTAGCTTAGAGACAGCTTCACAAGGTTGAGAGTATTACGCGCAAGACTCATCAGTTCTTTGAAAAAGTGGGTAAGGCACTTGCAGTAGTAAATACACGGGCAGCACAGTTTAAAACAGAAAACAAGAGACTTTATAGTTAACTTAAGGCTCTTAAGCCTCAACAACTACGAAAGAAAGTTTATACAAATTCAAATGAGCGCTTTGCAGAGATAGATACAATTATGGTTGCCGTACAGGCCTCACGGCTTCTTGAGGCACAACGAGAGAGCAATGCTGAGGAACGGGCTGCAGAAAGAGTAGCAGCTGAAACAGCAGCTTAAACGCTTCAGTCTATGTGTACAGAGTGGCAATTGTAACTCTGTTGAGAGAATAAACACGATTTTCATGTGGATGGCTGATTTCGGGTCAGTGAGTTGAAACCCCGGGTGACTCGAAACCCGGTCCGCTAGCTTAGCTTCACGTTTTCGGATGGCATTCCGAAGGCCTTGGGGTTATGCACGCGCTAGCCAATACACCAACGTTGGCCTTCACCTATACCTTCTGCTATACTATGATGCGGTGAGAATGCAAATGCCAACTCTTTGAAGTCGAAATCTGTCGGAAAGACCGCGATAGATGCATGGGTTAGGCGATTAAATTACAGATGATACGTACATTGCTTTGTGACCGTGAAGTGTTGAATGTAAACTCCTAAGGTTTCTATCAACGGCCAAGTGTTTAGTCAGCCAAGGCCTCAAACATCTGGTTGGTGGCTTCTCTTCCCGTTTGCTAGCTTAGGCAATCGGGCTTCAGCATTGCGACAACCACTTACACTGCTCTAAGTGTATGCAAGTCATGCTGTTGTGTGCGTGGGCCATTATGAAATATGGCAGGGACGTTTGCGCGACGTGACAACACAATGAAATCGCGATGACGCCACGCATACCAAGCAAATACGACGCGTCTTTATCCCACGTTAAGACCTCACCAACGCTGCAACCTTAGAACTCTTCCTACTACTACCTACACAGCCAAACTTACACAGTAATTACTCACGCGTTAACGCCTCAGTACTCATGCAGTCTATTCTACATCCCGTTATTGGCCCGAAAAAGGATATACACGATCTTAATGGCAGAGTCGCTCTCATCACTGGCGGTGCCATGGGCATAGGGTGAGATACGAAAGACTGTGGTCTGCAGCGACGTCTTATCACTGACTGTAACGCAGCTTCGAAATCGCCAAAGCGTTTGTTCAGAACGGAGCGCGAGTGATCATGGTCAACCGCAAGGAAGAGCAAGGTGAAGAGGCTATCAAGAAGATTAAGGAAGAGTGTGGTCAGGATGCGAAGATCGAATGGGAAGGATGCGATATGGGCACGCTCAAGGAGGTCAAAGAGGTCTTCACGAAGATACGAGAGCGCGAGGAGCGACTTGACTTGGTGAGTTTACACACAATGAGTGATTTGGCTGTTTAGCTGACAGGCGATGTGGCTCATTCTTTCCGCCGGCATTAATGCAAACCAATACGGAGAGACCAACGATCACATTGACCGCCACTTCCAAATCAATTGGCTTGGACAGTTCTATGTGGTCAACCTGCTGTACCCCCTGCTTCGGAAGACATCCAAGATGCCTGATACGCCTGCACCCCGTATCGTATTCGAGTCATCAGAGCAGCATCGCGCGGCTCCTTCGGTAGTCCATTTTGGCTCGCTTGATGAGATCAACAACCCGGAGATCGGCAATCTGGAAGTGTACGGCAGGACGAAGCTGGCCATCATCCTCGGCGTCAAGTACGGTCTGCTCGATCGGGTCATCAAGCCGAATAACGACAACATCTACGCTCTCTCGGTCCATCCAGGCGCGGTAAGCGACGTCCCTCTGGTTTGATATAACAGGTGTCGCTAATCATGATCTCAGGTAAATACCGCCATGCAGCAACAGTACGTATCCCCAATCTCGGTGGTCATTGTGCGCATTTGCTGACCAATACCGCGACAACAGGTGGAAAGATGCTTACCCCGGTCTATTCGGCAAGATAGTGACCGCTATCATGCTCGCCGGTGGACGCGACGTTGAGCAAGGTTCTTACAGCGCGTTGTACGCTGCGACCAGCCCTGAGGTCGAGGAGAAAGGCTGGAATGGCTACTACTTTAATGATCCTGGCCAGCCTGGTAAGGAGACGAAGCAAGCCTCTGATCCGGCTCTAGGTGCTGCCTTATGGGACCTGAGCACTCGGATCATCGAGGACAAGGTCGGTAATGATGCATTGGTGGACTGGAATGCTACTTCGTGAGCTACGGCCTGCTACTCCCTTCTTCAAGTCCGTCAACGGACGTTGGCTGTCCTAGTATGTCCGCTTAAAGCTAAATTATCTTAATGCAAACTCTTTCCTGATATGATCTGTCCTGAGCCACCCCATAGTTATCACATGCCACATCTGCACCAACAGCGGCCTTAAGTTTGTCCGCGTCTGCGTCCTGACAGCAAATTGATTGGAGACCAAATAATACGTCAGTTCTATGTCAATTTGACACGTGCTTTCCAGCTTGTGCTGCCACTTATGTCACTGTTGCGCAAAGTAGTTGCACCGGTGCCGTCTTCCTTCACAACCGCACGTCTCGCGCCCCTCATTCTCACAACACTCTCTCGCCGCGCCCCACGACCTAGCTTAATAATTCATAAAGACTGAACCGCAACCACTAATCATCATGGCGGATGCTCGTGTATCTGTCGAAGACAATGGTGATCAACAGTTTTCCCATCGCGCAATCGACAACGGCAACCCAACTATTTACAAACCTACATGGCTAGTACTCGACGACATCAATGTTGACCTCATCTCCTACTTCGAGCTCATCGCTATCGTAGCCTCCGTTCTCTTCTTCGGTCTCCCGGCTGTTCTAGCCCTTCCGATGGCAGCGGCCTTCCTCCTACCATTGCGCCTTTTCCTTCCCCGACCTAAACCACCCCAGGGTCTCGTCCTGATCACCGGAGCCTCGAGCGGTGTCGGAGCCGAGCTCAGCTACATCTTTGCGGAGAAAGGTCACGATCTGATCCTAGTAGGACGGAACGAGGAGCAACTTGAGGCGGTTAAGAATAATATCTCGGAGAGGTATGCGAGAAAGACTTATACGATCAGTGCCGATCTCTCCATCCCAGGAGCAGCTCAAAAACTCTATGACCATGTCACCGAGAGAGGTTTCATCGTGGATGTCCTGGTAAACGGCGCAGCCCTAGGAGGCGCAGGCGACACCTTCGAACAACCCATCGAACTGGCGGAGGGCATGACGACCCTCAATTGCACAAGTCTGGTTGTGCTTTCGCAGCTCTTTGGCAGAGATATGATCAAACGAGGTCGGGGATGGATGCTCCAGATCTCCAGCGTTGGCGGTGAGTTCACGCCCGATATATACACAGTGAGCATGTACTAACCAAGGATCCTAGGATGGATGGCTTCCCCCGGCCAAAACATCTATCACGCAACCAAGCACTACGTCCGCGCCTTCTCAGAAGCCCTCTCCGTCGAACTACGCGCCTATCCCGGCATCACTAACACGCAGCTCATGCCCGGCCCTGTGCACACGCAGTTCGTCACGCGCGCGCACGCTGATGAGACAGTCATGATGGGGGTGATGGGTCCTGGCGCCTTGGAGGATCCGAAAGCTGTGGCTATGGCGGGATACAGGGGCTTGTGCAAGGGCAAGAGAGAGGTGTTTAGCAGTTGGAACGCTGCGGCGAATGCGCTGATGATGAAGATGGCGCCCAGAAGTGTGCATCTTACGGTAGCAAGTCTGATGAATGCGCCGACTAGGGGGATGGCGAGGATGAGGGAGCCGGAGAAGGATCAGCGTGTTAGGGGAGAGAAGTTGGAGATGAAGAGGGAGCAGTAAGGAGACGTACAGCGGTAAATTGCATTGAGGACTATTGAGCGAATGGCGAAAAGGGAAATGGTGCCTAGGCATGACACATAGAATCATTGTGGCACTGCATCGTGCTCGCTTCTCGAAATGCTACATCTTTCTTAGAAGTTGTAGAAACATCTGATATAAGAGAAGTAGAACATTTTCTGATGCGGCGAGGACTGGAGGTACCACTGTCAGAGGATATGATCAAAGGTGCCGTTAGAAACGAAGAAAGTGGGAGGGGATATCATGCGTCTTTTTCTTCAAAAACGCGAAAGCGAAGTCGAAGTGACAGAAGGAGTGGTCAAAGCCGCTGCAGAAGACGTGAGAAGTGGGGAGAGACATCATGATCCTTCTTCTGCAACGATGCGAAAGCGAAGTTCAGGTGACAAAGAGGGTCATCAACGCACTCCAGGTGACTTCAGAGAGAGGTCACAAGGCGGTGGTGAAGTTACTTACAAACAAAAGCACTATCACGTGAGAACATAGCGCGGAAGTTTTCTCAAGGACAAAACACGCATAGTTGTCAACAAGCAAATAACTTGCAATTAATTGATTGGTTGATTAGTTGAAGCAATCGAATACCAAGTCAAGTAGAGGGTCGCGATAGCTACCAATCAAATCAAGTAACTAGTTGTTGTTTGATTGACTACTTAGTTAATTGCTTTAGTTGTGATCGCAATTACGGCCGATTTAGGCGTGTGGCTATAGTGTTTGGTGAGACAGGGCTATCGCAGTGTTTTGCTGATGTTGTTGTTACCGAGGCTGACGGCCATGTGAGCCCGACGGCCGTTTGGGCCACCCGAACACCAAAACCACCACCAAACTGGAGGTCGTGGAGCCTCACCCAATAGCTATTATCGCGATCTTTCTTAGAGTAGTGATCTAGACGTTGTATTACATATATCTATCTACTTGTATTTGGCTGATAACTTGATTGATCGGGCGCGACGCGATCGCGGAGCCGGGAGGCCTGTTTTTCGATCAGGTGGCTGATCACGATCACCATGATCGCCCACAACAGTGTCGTTTAGAGCTGGCGTTGTAGAAACTTTGAGAGTGCTCTTCTTACCCTTTTGGGAAGTTTTGAGAGCCTGTTGGAGTCGTTGTTGAGTCTTTTGAGCTGCTTTTCGGGCGGCTCGATCAGCAGCCTCCTCAGCCTTCTGCTGAGCGCGGAGTAGACGGGCCTCTGCCTGAGCCTCACGCCTTGCCTCAATCTCATTTGCCTTGATCACCTTTGCCTCTTTACGCAGCTTGATTGCCTCGGCTTTTTGGAGTTGTAGCTGTTGATCGTCGTGATCCCTTTGATGCTGGCGCTTGTGAGCTTCCCTCACCTTCCTTGGGGACCAGAACGCAGCTCCACCATTGTACTCCTCTGGCTCTTGGAGTAAGAGCGGTTTCCCTCGCTTCCTGCGCTTCCTCTCATTAATCAGAGCCTCCTTAAGGTCTCTAATCTCGTTCTGAGCAAGCTTCGCTCAGCTTAATAGCCGGTGGACTGTTCGGTTAAGCTGAGAGATCTTCGTCATCTCCTTGTGGTTGATAGCACGATCAATAAGCGTCCTAATCTTTCTCCAATCAGAAGCGCTAAGGGCTGAGGAGTTGCTGTCGCTGCCAGAAGCTATAGGAGCAAAGCGTTGCAGTATTACTTCTGGATTAAACGGTGATAGCCCTGTAACTTCGAAGGACCGGAGGATCGTCGATTGCTTAAATGAGGCCTCACAGGCTCGGTAGAACAACGGGGAGAAGTCTCTCTTACTCATAGAGACGAGCCCTTGGCCCCGAGCCATGAAGCTTGAGATCTCATTTGAGTAAGCAGTTGATAGAGGCTTAAACAGGGCAACGTCGAGCGGCTGCAGCGTATGAGTTGAATGAGGGGGATATACGGCAAGGAGGATCTTGTTCTGATCACAGTAGTCAATAAACTCCATCGTGAGGTGGGACCCATGCCCATCTAGGATAAGTAATCGATAGCTTGATCGTGCCTTCGCCTTTGTACTGCGATCAAACACCTGTTTAAGCCACGCTAGGCCGATCTCATTGTTCGCCCGGCCAGAATGGGATGAGGATATATAAGCCCGATGAACATAGGATCAAAGCCTTGAAGCTAGGAGTTCTGTATCGATCCAGATTTGCTCTGATAGATGAGACTAGGATCAGGATAAGATCCACCTGCGCAGGCGCAGGCTACAAGAGTAATCCACTCGCGAGAGCCATCTTGTATAGTACTTCTACTCCTCCGGTCCTCGTATGAAGCCCTGCTGAAGATCTTTTTAGTGCGGCCGACGACTCTAAGCATAAAGCCCTTCTCATCCATATTGTATATATGACGCGTCTCGACGTGATATTGATTGATCTTATCGCGTAGGGGGTTGAAGTAGAGGCTTTACTTCTTGTCTGAGTCGGCTTTGTGGCGGCTGTTATCCATGCCCGTAGTCCATTTTGAGATCAGCCTGTCGGGCCACCTCTGCACGAAGCGATTGACCCAGTGTACTCCAAGCTCTTTGTGCGCGATCTGAGAAGCGATCGATCGTATAGTAGCCCGTTTAGGTGGTAGGCCTTGCCCTGTGAGGCGATCAATATAGCCTAGGAGCTCCTGCTCTTGTTGTAGGTGGAGAGGTTGTTGATTGAGTGCCATGGCTTCGCGCGAGCCCGATCGGCCTTGGTGTCTTCGAGCGAGCGAGCAGCGTTCGGCTGCAACCGTACTGAATTGCAATTTTGCGATAGCTAAATTGTTCTCCTAGTTTACGCGACTCGATTGCCGCGATTGCGGCCTCAATTGGGCCCATAGTGGTGTAGTTATTAATCGTAAAAGTTGGTGATCGATTTCGGTGGGTAGCCCAAACGGCCGTCGGGCCCACACGGCCGTCAGCCTCAGTGGGTCTCGCGTTTTTAGATCACGCACCAAATTAGATTGAGTAGTTGATATTCACTAGCACTAGTGCGGGGGACACACCTCAGAAGGGGGACAAATCTTACCACCTCTGCGCGCAATGCGCGTAGGGACACAGTACGGTAGTGAATTACTCATGATTAGGCAGGTGAGCCGAACCAGGCACAAGTTTCATTAACAGGCATGAGGAGATCTAAATTTTAACAAGACATCATAACTACGAGATATTGTTGTTCCCCTAGTGACAAAATTGGAGCGTAATGAAGCAACATCTAGCCGCGGCCAACGTCCGCGTGACTTTACGACTGTTTTCAGTATGACCTCACAAGGAGCTATTATCGTGAACAACGTAAACCCTTTTTGGCTGGTGAATGGTTCTCTTACAACAACTGCATTCTATTGACCCGGCTTGAAATATGCTACAAGTAACCGCGACAATCGAACAAAAACTTACTCTCATTCTTCTACGTTGACTACTATGCGTCACATCTAGCCATGGACATCCCATCATCTTCAGAAAATTACCCCTGCAAGCCACGCTTACGCAGGAACATTTCCTATCCGCCTACTCCGCTTCTCGACGAGGAGTCATCCCGGCCGACTCTCCAAATCATATCCTATGATTCTGCAACAGTCCCGATTACGCCAATGGTACTCACCTACGACCTGCAGGGCAAGGCCAACCTGTCGCGTCACATCCGTTTCAGTCCATTGATAGGTGTATCGGGATCTGCGATGATAGAATTGCGAAAGGAACCCCACTACGTCTCCAATCTCCAAGCAGCAGAGAAAGAGATACGCAACGCTATGGAGTGTCTGCTTATGTCCATTGAATGTCGCAAACGTTCTTCATCGACTAGCAGCGGTGAGGTTGTAGCTGAGTGGGTTGGGGGGTTGGAGAAACAGGACACGGACGAAGTCGTCATGGATGACTTCGAGAGTGAAGACAGCTACTTCAATGCGAAGATGGCGACCTTAAGAGTGGGCTGTAGCTGTTTGATTGGCTGTTACAAGAGCGTTGCTTTTGCGGAAGACCTAGCCAGTCGGCCATGGCCGAAAGAGTGGGTGGTTAATGTGGAACACCGCAGTATCTTCGCCAGTGTATGAAAGCTCACATGGCAAGGCATGTTCATAAACTCTCGGATGAAGTGCTCACAAATCTAACTTAAGAATCAGTCGTCATCTATGACATCTCGGAAAATCTCATATGCGATGGCCATTCTCTGCACCTGGGCAGTTTCGATGGTAGACGACTCCTTAGGCGTACGAGCGTTGAGAGCTCGCACTAGGACATTTTGCACCAGCTTACTAAAAATGCGTTATGCGCCGAATCTCGCTCTTGGAGCTTACGATTTCATGGTCCTACGGTGCCATGACGATGCTCATTCCAAACTCCGCGGGATTGGTACCCTAGCGCAGCTTTGCGAATAAGTTAGTGATGTGCTCAAAAATGATTTCCAGGCCCGGGGCCAGGTATGAAGACCAAAATACTCCAATCTGGTAATCACATTTTCGATTGTTATAAAATCCCTGGAGCAAGGAGATTTCGCGAGTCTTGCAAGGAGACCTCAAAGGCAAGTTGATTCTGCGACAAGAAAACTACCAACCTCAGATTTGTAGATATACGTGACGCGCAGCAACACCCTGGAAGTCAAAATGCATTACAAAGGCCCAAACACGGGGGACGACTACGTTATATACATCGCGAGTGCTGAAACAACACGAGACTGGGAGAAAGACAAGACAATCCCACTCGTAGACGTGCTAACGTTAGATAGCTTCTTCGTCTTCGTCTCACAAAAATATGTTCCTCGGAATGGAAGCTATCCTGGAGTACTGCTGAGTCTTCATAGACAAGAAGCGCAAGGCATCCTGGATCCAGCGTCGAATGCGCAGCTGGAGAGTGAATTTAGAACGCACAAGATTGAGGAAGTCGCGCAGATGATTATAGAGAAGGGCTAGATTATTCAGAGTAAGGTAAGTGACTTACAGTTTATTCTTCTCGGTAATTCACAGGCTTCGTAGTCGTCGAACAAGGAGCGCGATAGGAACCCTACAAATGGCCCCGGTGTTAGTAGTGGAGGAGGCGTCCACCATTGAGATAATATATACGGTAGACGCGTGCTACTGTTAAGTTCGTACGGCAATTATGGCTAGAGTAATTTCTTTTATGTAGATAATTAGATTCGCTAGAAGAATTGTAAGAATTGTCCAACATTGTCGCACGGCTGGGTGCGGGTATTGTAGACGTAGAGAAGTTAGAAGAGAGTGTATGTGTTGTATTGTTTGTAGCATCCTAGCCGATGAGCCACCCGAACAACAACAGGACTCCAGAAAGATGAGGCTGTACAGCCACGCGCAAAAGTGATTATCGCGAGATTTCTTGGTGTATTGTTCTATAGATGTATGCGAAACTTTCTATCTATTTAGATTTTTCAGTTGGCTTGATTTGACGCTCGCGCTTTGAGACTCTAGGTGGAGGCGGCGGCGGCGGCGGCTCAGGTGCAGCCTCAGGCTGACTCTGAGCACCAACAACACGACGACGCTTTGTCGGACTTTTTGCAGTGTGAGACTTTTCGCTTAGCCTCTTTGGCTGTATTGTGAGATTTTTGTGAGGTTGCAGCTTCGCGTTGCTGCTTTTTGAGCGCCCGAGCTGCAGCCAGTTCATCAGCCCGCGCTTTCTTCACCATGCGCCTCTCCTCAGCGGCATATTGACGAGCCACCTTCGCAGCCTCAGCTTGATACTTCTTGTAACTTGTTGCCGCCGGTTTCCACTCTCTCCAACAGCTCTTTAGCTCTAACTTGGGCCTTGTCAGCGACTGCAGTTTTAAATAAATTCACCAGCTGCTTCGGTATATCGCTGCCGCTACTGTCTCTAAGTTCTGAGTCGTGATCTTGTCGCGAAGTGCGGTTGTTGAAGCGCTTTAGTACAGGCTCCGCATACATCGGCCACACGCCTGTAGCTTGAAAACTCTTCCTTATCGTCTCCGGCTTTATCGCAGAGCTCCACGCCGCCTAGAAGTTTGTAAAGAAAGCTCGCTTCGCGCCTATCGTGTGTCCTTGCAATTGGTGGAGCTTGTGGTTGAGCCCTGTGGTGTAGTACCTCACGAGCGGCGAGAACAGCACCACGTCGAGCGGCTGATGGCTGTGAGTTGAGTGCGGGGGAAAGATGGCAAGCAGAATTCGATTGGCGTCGCATAAATCCAGGAAATCGGCGGTAACGTGGCTGCCGTGGCCGTCAAGGATCAGAAGGCGCCATCGTCGACGCGCTTTGGCTTTAGTATAGCGGTTGAACACCTGTTCGAGCCAGGCAAGCCCAAGATCATTGTTTGACTAGCCTGTAGGCGAGTTGGAGAAGAAAACCTGATGTTTTCAGACCTCTACGTCGTCAACCCAGCTCGATTGAATCCCAGAGGATCCCTGGTAGATAAGGGCGGTCGGCAGTGCCTCTCCAGAAGCGCATACGCAAGCAATAAGCGTTACCCATTGTCTGTTGCCATCTTTGATCGCTTCAGTACGCTCTTTTGACGCGCAAACTGCCTTACTGAAGACTCGTTTCGAGTGTGAGGCGATGCCGACAAAGAAGCCCTTCTCATCCATATTGTACGTGTCAGACTTGTCAACAATCAAGCCAATCAAGCCGATCTAACTACATTTAGTAAGATCTTAACCTCCGCGAGTTAGTGGATTACCATATTAGGTTAGACCGGCTTGATTGGCTTGATTGTTGACAAGTCTGGTACGTGTTGCGCTCGTCAAGCTCGTACTCGCGCATCTTGGAGTAAAGTAGATTGAAGTATGCCTCGTACTTTTCTCTACTATCAGCTTCATGGCGCTCACGATCAATACCAGCGCTCCATTTGGTGGTAACCTGGTCAGCGTGGCGGTTTAGAAACCGAGTAACCCTGCGTGATGGGACGCCGCAGACAATCCCAAACATAACAATGTCAACAACAGATGACAAGAATAGATATTCTCGGAATAGCAGTCTTAGTCCGTAAAGTCCAGTATGTGGTAGTATCTTCTAGAAATAGGTTATTCTTACCGTGCAATACGATAATTTAGTATAAGCGTCACGCGACCGCCTCGCTTTAGGTAGCACTAGGTGCGTCAGAAGCTCATGCATCCTGTCGAAAGTCCGTCGGCTTACAGCTTGTTATATCATCATCCTATCCCGAGCAATGCACTTGAGCTTGAGTGATTGTAGTGCGCTAGATCGGAGGCTGTGTGGCTGTGTGGCGTTTTTGCCAAGCGCGCCATGACACCTGAAAACCGGCGCGGATTAGGAGCAGACCTAGGTCTAAAGGCCCCCGGCGTTTAGCTCGCGTCAACGAACACACTCATCATCGAAGCCGCAACTAACTTCCGATACAGCCATTATGCAATTTCGAGACGCAGTGCAATAGATGATTATAGCTAACGCGAAAGCTTACATGTTATAGAGATAAATCGTCGCGCCGCCCTACAGCTCCGCAGGCCCGCCTTTGATCCCTCGTCCGACCTACCACATCCTCGTACTTTTCGATCACATCGCAACCGATACATATACGAAGTAGCAGCTAAATGCTGCTTAAGCTCTTTGAAGGAGAATATAATGAGTTATGTGGCATCTAAAGAACAGGGTGGGCATGGCATGATGCAGAATACCAAGATCTGAGTTTAGGCTTAGCAAGCGCAGTGAGTGTTACTAGAAGAACGCGGTCGTTGCAAGCACGTACAAAGGTGGAAAGGGTCTGCATACCTTGGGGATGCAGCTGTCGCACGGATGTACAACGAGTGGCTCCTTGCATGAGCACTGCAATCATTAGGGGCGTGGTGAGGTGCTCCAGTTTGATCTCTGAGGGTGATGAGGAGTTTGGATTGTCGATGCTCATGAGCGCTGGTAGGGGTAGAGCAGAGATCTGACGGTAGCTATGCTCGGTAGGGTACTACGCTGTCCAAGGCTGCATGTCGTCCTGTCATCGACAACGGCCCTTGTATCTCTTTGTAATGCTATCTAGTGCGGATGTTTATAGCAACCCTGTGGCCAGTGCGGGTCGGCCACCTCCTGCTAGCGGTGGCAAGGCACGACCTGTGCTTGACTGAACACTACACCTAGCCACTCTGGATAGGATGCCATGAGTACTTCCATGTTAGATAGCTGTGCGAAGCCTATAAGATACTGTTGGGCTAGTTTCTGTTTAATGAAGATGCTGAAATTGCAGACATACGATGTCAATGGCCGAGAGCAGTTGACTAAAGGGTCATGCTTCGCAGAAGCAATGCATATTCATGGGATCAATAAGGTGCAGCAGACGATCCTTGTAGGAGAAAGGAAAGAATTAATATTTAAGAGAGATAAAGGTTGGTGACAATAGAGTACCATGACGGTTGTCGTCGACGCGAGGCTGTAGGATGCTGAAACTGGCGCTGATATACAGAGGTTCGTGGCGCGGCAGACGTAGCGAGATTGATTGGTCGAATACTCAACCGGCTGAATCAAGCTTTGCCACTTTTGCCACCAGTCCGCTACGTCATCTCTCTGCAATAATTCGTCATAAGAAGCTGTGAACGCTGCACCCTCCAGTTTGCTGGCTACAATCATACACTGTGCGTAATATCATCGTCACAGCCCCGTCTCTCACGTATCAGCTTGCACTTGCGCCCCGGTATCTTCTCCTATTGAACGATTACGCGAGCTCCACCCAGCCGACTCAAGCCACCTCTAAAGGTGCTTGACATCAATGGAGAGCAGCAGCGGCCCTGGCGCCAAAGTAGCCATCCCTCGGCTCAGGCGGCCTGACCAGCAGACTGTCCTTCCGAATCCACCCCGTATTCGTCCCGAGAGAGTGGATAAGGCAGTAAGTACCGTACTTCCATGAACCCGCACCATGACGCTAATCAGAGGTGTAGTGCAATAGATGCTGGAAGCGCAGTGAGTATAATATCTAATCGTGTCTTTGCGACCGTACCTACCAGTTGCTTCGTGTGGACATATTGTGCGAGCTAACATGTGCAGAAACGAAATGCTCTGGCACTAGACCGCGCTGCATCAACTGCGAGAAGCATGACGAGGATTGCATATACCATCTGCCACGTCGGGACCGGCTAAGAGAGTGAGTTGACTTGAATATCTCTTCAGTGCGCTTCTGACTTGAACAGGACCACTCACAAGAGTGAGGTTCTCTCCACACTGCTCCAGGACATCCGTGGCGCCCTCGATAATGAGCATACAAAGAGAATTGATGATGCACTCAAAGAGTTTGAAAATGACACGCCTCCACCATCGCCATCCGTATCCATCAAGTCATGGAACAAACGATCGAGGACGTCATCGTCTAATGAAATGGATTGCGACAGGCAGGCGTTTGACGAGGCTCACGTCTCATCCTCAGTGGGCTCTAACGAGGATCTCCATTTCCTAGAGGAAGATGTCCTAGGGGACCTCGGATCAAGTGAGAAGGGCTATATGGGTCGCAACTCTCAGATCCAATGGATGCGGACTTTGCAACGAAAGCTAGATCAGTCTGGAGGCGGGTCGTCCGACATGCCATATGCGGCACCTAGAGACAGCGAGGGGGCTCCCTTCAAACGCTCTGATGCACCTTATGAACGTCAAAAGCAGTCAGCGGGCGCCGGGCCTCTTTCAGATTGCTACTTCTATCCTGACAACACTGACATCAATATCGACATTGACGACCCAGATGTTGTTCCACCTGTCGAGATAGCCAAGAAACTGTTCGAGTCCTATCAGGTAGCGGTCCATGATCCGTTCCGGATCCTTGACAGCTCATTCGAGGAGCAATTACAAACGTATTATCGGGTTTCCCAGCGCGGCGGTACAATAAACGTCTGCGTAAAGTGGAAAGCCATCCTTAACCTTGTTTTCGCCATCGGAGCACGCTTCTCGCACCTTGTTGGCGACGACTGGCGAGCCGATGGCGGCGACCATCACATATATATGTCGAGGGCAGTACACTTCCTGGGATTGAATCAAACCACGACACTCATTTGCGCTCCTGACATTTCACTCATACGAGTAAGTGTTTCGGTCTCTTGTAACCCAGGAGTCAATCTCTGACTAACAGCATACAGGCGACTGGGCTTCTCTCCTTCTACCATCTGACTATTGGTTATGTTAATAGGTATGTGAAGTTTGCATAGAGCACGTCCCTAAGACGAGCTTTACTTCAAAGGATGCGCTCTAGCGTCAGTACAATATATTGCGCATTTCCACTAACATGTGTTGCACAGGGCTTGGTATGTGATTGGTATGTCCATTCGATATGCGCAAGCAGCTGGTCTCCACCTTAGGAACGAGGATCCCTCCGTTCCGACGAGCAGAAAGAATGCATTGGCACAACTCTGGTGGGCCCTCCATTCGATCGAATGTGTCCTCACTTCCGTAACGGGACGACCGCGTGCCATAGCAATAAAGGACTGTACAGTCCCCCTTCCGACAATCATGACGGAGAGATGTAGTCCGAGGAGCAGTTCACCGCCAGAAGGCTCCACGCCCCGATCGAATCCCATACCGCCCGCGCCATCATCGACCCAGAGTCAGGTCCGGCAATCGTTCAACTCTATAGAAACGGTCACAAATCCAGACTCGTTCCTAAACGCTTACGTAGGTCTTGATCTCATTCAGCACAAGATACTGTCTAACCTCTATTCTGCACAACCCGCTATTCACTCATGGAAGCGTATGCAGAAGGAGATATCCTCGTTAACCACAGAACTGAACGAATGGGCTCTGCAAGCACTTCCGCATGGTTCATTCAGTACAGCATCGATCGCGGAGCCTAGCCTAGGGCGCGAGCAATCAGTGCTCCATTTCTGTTACCTGAGTGCTAAGATCTGCATTACTCGACCTTGTCTGTGCAGACGGGACATACGCCAAAAAGGCCAAAGCGAGGAGTCAGTCGAGTTTAATTGGAGGACAGCCGAAGCTTGCGTTCAGGCCGCCCTAGATTTGGCATTGTTGCTGCCTGAACCCCTTGGTCCCCGATGGATCTACGAGAAAGGACCGTGGTGGTCGAGTGTACACATCAGTGAGTTTCAATTCTGCAACAAAAAGGGCCGACTAACTTTTGTAGTTATGCAGGCTATAACGGTGCTGCTCCTCGAGTTGGCGCAGGGAGCAATTCATTGGCCAACAGATCCGTCAAACATCGCCACATGCGTGGGGAAACTCACTCGATGGCTGAAGGCCATGAAGTCCAATGATGTCGTCAGTGAACGTGCATACAACATCGTATGCAAGATGCTAGGCAAACATGAACAATCTAGGGAAGATGTCGCGACTGGTCAATGGGCAGCGGAGATGGCGGAACAACCCTACAACGAGCCAACAGCCGCATCCTATATGGCTTCTCAACCGTACGACGACCTAGATCTCCAGTATCTCCAAGAAACCCCTTGCCTCGACACTTATTTCAACGATGATTATTACTCTCAAGCCAACAGCGGGAGCTTTGATCTCAACTCCCTGGCGTGGCCTTTCAACGAGCCCCCTGCAGACTTTCTGTTCGGCCAGGCACAGTTACCGTTGTTCTTTGGGAATCATCGCATGGCAAACTTCGACCAAGGGACGGAATACTACGGCCTGGACAGTTCTACCCAACACGGACAGCAGCCCCCACAATAGGATCGCGGCCAACGTGTTCAGTGGTTTCGGCGAAGGGCGAACCAGGCAAACAATCTTTTAAAAATATAACATAACGTGGTTCATAAGTGAGCGCCCCACCCAAGTGAGCGCCCCACCAAACACCAGCGCAGCGCACGCGCAGCGACAACACGCAATGTCACAACAACACTAAGCTCTAAGACTCTATACTGAAGGCGACGTACAGCTTGCTATCTCTGATGTTCAAAGCAACTAAGTAAAAAGCCTACGACGCGCTAAGGCAATCTACAGCGTTCCCCAAAGGACGATACAGCGGCACCGTAATGGGAAGCGCCCTCAACGCGACTGCGAGCCAAAATTAAAGCGCCTTACAAAGCTAGAAGAGGAGGCGATTGTACAGCGTATACTTGAAGAGAGTCTACGTGGTATACCGCCCTCGAAGGCAAACGTACGAGATATGGCTGATAGACTGCTAAGGGAGCGTGGTGGGAAGCCTACGGGCAAGAACTGGGTTGATAACTTTATTAAGCGTACACCTGAGCTGCGCACGCGATGGAGCCGTCCATACGATCGCCAGCGAGCTGCCTGCGAGGACCTAGCGGTTATCAGGCCCTGGTTCAGCCTAGTTCAATCCATAAAGGCGAAATATGGTATTGTGGATGAGGACATCTGGAACTTTGATGAGTCTGGCTTTCTGATGGGCAAGATATCCTCTCAGCTTGTTGTTACAGGCTCAGAGAAACCTGGCAAACAGAAGAAACTACAGCCTAGCGATCGCGAGTGGGCTACTCTAGTACAAGGTGTCGCTGCGACAGGGCACGTTATCCCACCCTTCCTCATCCTTGCAGGCAAGGTCCTTATCACCTCCTGGTTTGCAGATCTACCTCGCGATTGGATTATCACTGTTTCTCCTACTAGCTAGATCAACAACGACCTCGCGCTGGCGTGGCTTAAGCACTTTGACGCCTATACAAAGGCGTCTTCTGCTGGGGCGTACAGGATGCTTATTATCGACGGCCATGAGAGCCACTGCTCAATAGAATTCCAGGACTACTGCAAGGAGAACAAGATCATCGCTCTCTGCATGCCACCTTACTCATCGCACCTCCTGCAGCCTCTTAACGTTGTCCCCTACTCGCTGTTGAAGCGCCACTACGGCGATGGGATCTCGCTCTTAGCACGCAGCCGCATCTACTATGTTAACAAGGAAACCTTCCTACTAGCCTTCAAAGAAGCTTATAAGAAGACGTTTACACTAGAGAATGTTCACGCAGGCTTTCGAGGTGCTAGGCTAGTCCTATACGACCTAGAGGTTGTGTTATTAAAGCTAGATGTGCAGCTGCGTACGCCGACGCCACCTGCACTAGGCACTGTCGCCTGGGAGGCGCAAACACCGCGCAACGCCCGCGAGATAGAGGCGCAGTCTACGTTGATTCGAAATCGCATGCAAAACTACCAAGGGTCACCAGCAAGCTCGTTAGATGAGCAGGTCAAGCAGCTAAGTAAAGGCGCTCAGCAGATAGCTTATAGTATGGTGTTAGTGCAGGAGGAAATAGGCCGCCTTCGAGACGCTGTTGATACGCTCACAAAGCGCAAGACTCGTAAAAGGCGGTATATACGCGCAGAGGAGACTCTAACAGTTAGTGAGGTATCTGACATAATTGCTAAAAAGGAGGGTGGTAGGCGTGAGGACAGCAAGACGCCTGCGAAGAGGGTGCGCGCAGAGAGGCGCTGCGGCCGTTGCAGCGAGACTGGGCACAACTCCCGCACCTGCAAGGCAGAAATAGAGGATGTAGATAATAGCGGCGCTTCTGAATAATCCTATAGTATTGCGTATAGTATAGTAATTTGATGTAGTGTTGTGCTGCGTCGCTGCGCGTGCGCTGCGCTGGTGTTTAGTGGGGCGCTCACTTGGGTAGGGCGCTCACTTATGAACCACGTTAGTGGAATATGCAAATTATGGAGAGACAGCACATCGCTTCGTGTGAAGCATCCTTCTCCGCTGAACAGCATGGCCAACCCAGAAACATGTGGAAATCTAAGTGCTACGCTGAGAATGCTATGTACTCGACGGCGGAATGGTTTTAGCTAGAAAAGCTCGTCTCGATTCCTGCCATTCTTGGCGAAGCATTATAGCTAGGACTTCAAGTAATGACAAAAGATCGCAGAGAGAGACTTTCATCTTCGCCACACAGGTATGATATGTAACCATAATAAGTACTATTCGTGGAGATCGGTTGCCACCGCTAGCAGGTGGTGGCTGACCCGCACTGGCCACAGGGTTGTGACAGCTTGTCCTCCGGAATCAGGCAAGCGAGGATTTGGTGGGAGCGATTCAGCATATAATAACATGTATTCTTGTCAATAATACTAATTTAATTTTTCCTCCAATAACGTTATATCGTTCGTGTCCGCATCAGGGTCAGAATGTACTTTTGCAGCAATATCGGCCTTGCATGACCTACCGTGAACCATCAGTCCCCAATAATGTATATCGTTGATTATACCTATCAGCTGCTGGACACCAGCAAGGATGCAGCAGTCACCAGAGTAGATTGTGGACATGTTGCAGCCAGTCCAGGTAGTAAAAGTCTTTGGCACAGTACACCACAAGTCCCAAGTTGATCCAGTGAATGTGATAGAGTAGTGGCGCATTTGCTCTTTATCCTCCTCCTTCCACTCTTGCCCAGTCATCTGAAGTGCGCAGCTTTTTAGACGATAACGATTATACACTGCCATAGCCGAGGCGACGGCAACTTGCTGACGCGCCGTAGCGAGAGTGTCTTCGTCCCGCTTGAACTCGACGGTCAAGTAAGGGCAAAAAGCTCGCTTTTGTGCAACGGAAATGTGTTTTCGTACACTTGGGCGGAAGCCGGGTTGAAAGGCCTGAAGGGAGACATGGTACGCACAGTCTGGACGAATATCCCACTCGTAGCGTTTTCCGAGCGAGCCAATCAACGGGGGAGCAACCCATTCATCCTGTGGTAATCTCCGAACCAACTGTAGCATGCGAACGGGCAGCCATCGCTGATCGCCGTCTTCCTCTGGGAGCCATGGATGACGAGGCTCATCAAGGAATATGTCTCGCAGAGCGTATGCCGAATGCTCAGCCTCATTGCATTCGTATACTCTCATAGCTTTGTATTCACGCTGAACGTGCTCTGCGTCTGGCTCCAGCCATACGTCAAGTGAAAGTGCTTCTTTGTAAACATGGAGTCGACGCTTCGGGTCGCGTGGCAGTTCTTGGATGCGAAAGTGTTTGTGAAGGTCCTTGTTCACACCCTTGTTCTGGATGGTGATTCCATACGGCTCGAGAACTGTATCTATAAAGTCCGCATCAGTAACTCTCGCAGCCATCTCCTTCCTAGTCCTGACACTTGAGGCTTCCGATGTAGGAGGTGTTTGCCGCCAGCGATGTCCAGACGCCGATGCTGATTTCGACGTTGTGCTTCCAGATGAAGAGATCTTTGTCCTTCTTTTCCCCCTTGAGCTCTCTGTATCTGTGGTATGTGTCATGATTGTCGCCCACAACCGTGTGGTTTGTGCTGGATCGGTTGCGGGGACAACAAAGCGGTGAGCAGACTTGAGCGATTTCGAGGGTGACGACAACGAGGAAGACGTAGGGATTATCGACGGCAGAGGTAGGAGTGATTTCGTAGTATGTCTACGTGCAGAGGAGTTGGCGGTTGGGTGCATGTAGCGAGGGCGGCTCCAGGTCCCTTCGAGGTCTATCGATGGCCGCCCGTTGTGAGATCGAAGGGCTTGCGTCTTATTCCTAGAAGCTTGGTGGCTTTTTTCATCCGTTGTGATGGATTGCGACGTAGACATTGTCATGAGTCGCACGGCATCGCGACGTTGTACAAGGGCTGTCGGGACAGCGGCTCGCGCTTTTGCAGTTCTGACGCTTTGGCCGCTTTTGGTTGGCTCAGCAACAGCGCCAAGGGACGTAATCGTGACTAGCGATGAGCCAAATGGCGCAACAACAGACCTAAGACAGTTGCCGTTCCCACGTCCTAGCGGAGCTGAATCTAGCTCCCGCTGCGGGGTAGTTTTAGTCCCGGGATTTGGGTAACTGGGCATCCAAGTGGATGTGGGCCAGCGAACTCTTCATACTACTACCGGTATGGCCCCACTATCTTATCAAGAGCAGCTTGATCAAGTCGCTTTTAGCGCAGATCTATATCCTGTACGCTGTACGTCTGGCGCATCTTCTCTACAAGCTTGAACTACGCTGCGATAACGACAGGATCCTCGCAACGAGTGCGCTAGCTGTGGAACTTTCTATTCTACTTAGCCTGAAGTTTAGGCTGGCTGTTAATAAAGCGCGACACTCAATTCTTGCCTACAGGTCTAGGATCCACCGAACAAGAGACTTCTCCTCAACAGGATAGAGCCTTCGTTTCTAGGCGTTGGCAATCGCTTGAGGCTAGATACCTTGGAGGCAGCGTTGAAGAGTTGTACGACGCACTTTAAATAGATGGGGGCATTACGTTGACTTTTAAGTTGGTTTAGTTGGAGCGCTTGAGAAGCAAGAAGAATTCTACCCTCTTTTTGAGGCGATAGAGGACGTTGTTGTCGTGGCATTGTCGTTGTTGAGTTGAGCGTCGCGTCGGGTTTGGTGGGGTGGCCCGATGACTGGTCTGGCCCGCTGAGTGATCCAACACGTTACCGGTAGTCGCACTGCTGCCTGGTCTCCACCTCAGCCTCACTACCTCTTGCACTTGAAGACTAGAATCCGTTCGCAAAGTCTTTCATCCTATCACATTATGTCTGAATCAAGTCGCACTCCGAAACAATTAAACACGATACTAGTTTGCGACCCTAATGAAAGGCGCAGCCTAACTCGGTCTAACGTACCCGTCCCTGCCCGAACAGGTATGTTTAGAGCGGTTACAGCCACGCTTAGATGTTTAACAGTTGGAGCTGATTACTCTTGATCACTCTATAGAAGGGCCTCTAGCGTGCCTAATTGCTCAATGTAGTGGAAGGGGTGGGTGTACATGCAACGCCAGGCATACACTTTACGTAAGGAGGCAAGCCGATCGTTGCATGAAGAGCAGGGCTTGCTCCCGATCCAAACCCACTTCCTCATCGTCCGAGAGGAACTACCCATGTCAAGAAGAACAGAGAGATGGCACAAGCCGTAAGTCTTACACTCCACAGCCCACACATCAAGCTGTTCCTAACCAGAGTTGTGCAAAGAAGCCTTAAGGGTGCCTCGCACATCCTCCAGAGTAGCCTTTTCTTGTAAAAACTATAATTACGGACGTCTGGTCTGCCCGAGGACTATAAGATTGCTGGTGATCCATCCAAGCCAAGAGAGCACTTCGATATTGTCCTGTCATCTCAAAGTTGTTCCCCTGGACTCAGCACCATCTTATGAAGCACTGTCTTACACATGGTGCAAACAAGAAGATGGCTACCTGCGGTGCAATGGAAAGAATATCAACATAAGGCGGAGTCTGAGAGAGGCCCTTACACGCCTCCGTAGCACTGTTGTCGAGCGAGTTATATGGACCGATGCCATCTGCATAAACCAGGATGACGAGGAAGAAAAGGCAAATCAAATAAAGCGTATGCGGGAAATCTACAACAAGGCGAAGCGCGTCCTAGTTTGGTTAGGAGAAGATGTGCACTGTAAGGCTGAACAAGCATTCGATCGGATCAGCAGGATCGCTCAGCCCGAAAATAACGTCCTTTCTCCCAAAACCTGCTGGTGGGACCCGGTAGCTGCGTTTTATAGGTGCGCATGGTTTTCGCGTCTGTGGGTCTTCCAGGAGATAGCAATGGCAAGCTCTGCTGACCTCTACTGGGGAGCCTTGAGTATCTCCTGGCGAACGGTCGGATATGCTTCCGCCCAGATAAGGACACGACATCACCAAGCCATATTGTACCACTCTATGCTAAATGTGTACAACGCGTTCCTCTTTTGGAAGTGGTCAAATATCGGAGGCAAGTCCCATCGGCACGAGTCTTTGCTGTACATGCTGCAAGTCACCCGGCGTCTCCAGTGCACTTTTCAGAAAGATCGCATTCGCGCGCTCTCAGGATTCACGTCTGTGGATACTACTCCGAACAAGTTTCCAGAGCCCAAAGAACGCACGCAGTGGGTGTACCGAAAATGGGCTCTACAAGTACTTCGAGAGACCCATACACTCGACCTACTCTCAGCTGTTCAGCATGAATCTGCTATCTGCAAATTCAGTTGGGTTCCGAGATGGAACATTGGCACCGCTCACACTCTGGCACCGCTTGGACCAAACCTTGACACGTATAACGCCTCCCGACACCTCCCCCCTCTTTCGATTCAATGGACAGGGAATTGGGGAGAGTTTTTGCATGTTAAAGGTATCGAGTTTGATACTATTACTAGGACGGGACAAGTGGTGAATGAACCTGAGAACCTGAACGGACTGCAAGCAACGTTGGTGAACATGTCGTCTCAATTACTTGCCAGAGCTTCCCCTTACCCAACCGGCGAGTCCCTCGACCGAGTGGCCTGCTTCACTTTGACAGCAGGTAAAGATGAGTATGGGATGATGGTCGAAAATGCGCGACAACATCTAGCCAACTTCGATGCATTCTGGACCAACAGGGAGTGTGTCACAAACCGCTACTCGCCTCGATCGCCTTCTAGTATATCGGGCGACGCTGATTGCTTCCTTTTGGCGGCCCGATTCGCTTGCGTTCGCAGGAAGCTTTGTCATACTTCGAGAGGCTACGTAGGTATCGGTCCTGCCCTGTTACAGGCTGGGGATATAGTATGTATTCTCCCTGGTGGAGCTACACCATTCGCATTACGGCAAGACTCGCATTCGAACCCTTCAAAAAGAAGATTTCAGCTTGTCGGAGAGACGTACGTTCATGGAATCATGCATGGCGAGGCTGCCGGCCAATGTACAAACGGTAAACTGACAAATGTCGCATTCCACATAGTTTAGATATTGAACAGATAGCGGCGGCTCCAAACACCGCAGGCCAGGGAACCTGTTACATTGATACGTACCTTACGTATGTGGTCAGGTGCCGTTTGCCTTGACATGTGATTTGCCATGGTAGTGGGAAGTACTTTTGTTAGAGCTTGAACTGGTAGATAAAGGTCTGCACTCTGCAATGCGGAAGAACATGATATTACCATCTGGATGGAATCGGGTGGGCTGGGCCAACTCGGCACATGAATAAGTCGTTCCCACTAGCGTATATTGCCGATCGCTAAAAGCTCGAGCCTGCCCCTCCAAAACAAACAAGCCTGGCCCCGACCATCATCAGCTCTTCACATCCACTTTGCTCCAGAACTCATCGAACATGAACACCACAAGCGTTTACAAAATGGCGGGCTCCGATCGACGGCGTCGGTGTAACGCAGACTGTACATGAGCCTTGTCCTCTGACCGCACCTGGCGGGCGACAACTGACTATCTTCTGTTCCTCTAGCCCGCTTGACTTATACAGCCTGTTGCTCCCCAGGCAGCCAACGCACCCGAAACTAGCTAAAAGAACGATGCATCATGCAAATATATTCGGACCAACCATCTCGTTCCTCGAAGCGGCTCCATAACCTCAACAGCGTGCCCCGGTTTCCGCCCTCTCCGACCAAGAGTGCGACGAGCGCAACAGCATCTAAAGCCTCCGAATTCGAACCACATCAGAGCGGACGTTTGAGCCTCATGAGACAGCTCTAGATACCCGAAAACGTTACGGCGATGCGCAGGGCCACTTTGCAGTTTACACATCATATCAAGATTTTGGGAGCACAACGACACTTGGAACTATAAAGCCACCAAAGAGCTTGCGGAGATCAAGAAAGGTAAGGTGGATAAGAAAGACGAGTTGACAGAGGAACTGGAGAGGGAGGCCACAGTTCAGTGCAAGGCGTTAATCCCCCGTATAAAGGAATTGCAGAAAGTCATCTTTCCTGGTAGGAAGCGCTGGCTAAGAGAAGATCGTCAGTTGTACTCGCGCATGAAATCTGTTCTCCAGGGGGTTGCAGAGGAACTCGATGGTATAGAACGACAATAGCATCAAGTAAACCGAGCCCTACTCTTACTAATGCACTCCACCTACGTCATCTCTCCTTGGGTATAGAGACCTGCGCGACACCTGAATGTGACTCTATTTCCAGACAATAGGTTTGTTATCTGTTCTGGGTAGAATGGGTGTTATGCAGGGATGGTTCCTAGCTAGGCAAAGGCTCCGTTTTGGTTCCCATGATGGGTCCCGGTTAGTAACTCGGTTTTGGGCTTTCGCAAGCCTAAGATGAGGCTACGAGTGGCAAACCCGTGTGATGTATACTAATTCCTCTCCCCAGTTATGCAGCAAGGTTCAACGCCTCCGAGGCAAGGGTGTGGCTGGTGCGGGTCGGCCATCATCCTTGCTTGCGGTGACGGAACTGCGTTACAAATCGCTTGTAAGCATGCTGACGTTTATTGTGCTTGATTTGCCTAGCATCAAAACGAGACTGAGCAAAACACGACAAACAGCGAGAAATCTATCTTTGGAATTACCCATCACAACAG